ACGATGTGTTTATTACCATTTGGGTCAATTATTGCGTAACTGCCTTTGGTAACACTTCCTTCCTGGTCTTTTACATCTCCTGGCGGTGCAGATTGAGGTTTAGCGTTGACGAGTGTCAAAGTAAGTATTATTAAAGCTCCGGTCTAAATTTTTATCGATTAATTTGTGAGATTAGGTACAGATTAATAAATGCTTAAACTTACATGTTACTACTATAACGGCCCCTTCAGCACACAGCACTTTTTAAGGTAAAACACCCCCTTTTTCAAGGGTAAACAGAAAAGCAGAAAAAATCGTGAAATTACTTCCCATTTTAAAGGTATATTTTAAAATTAACATTTTTAAGGAAAACACCCCCGATTGTCAATGGTAAATAGAAAAGCAGAAAAAATCCTGAAAACACTCCTGTTTTTAAAGCCAGCTAAATTCATTTTTGAAACTCGATGGCTTGTATATAATTAATAAATACGAACCCGGTTCGTTAATAAATACTGTTTTGACATCAATTTTCTTGACGCCTTGTTATAGGGCGTCTGGAAAATCTATCTTTTTAAGGAAAACAACCTGATTTTCAAGGTAACTCGAAAAGTGCAAAATTTATAAGGCCCCCCTCAGAACATTTGCCCTGTTTCTATAAGGTAGAAAGCATGCCATACAAACTCATGTAGATGGGTCTATTCAACACAACAGTTCAAAATTAATGATTCAGGAAATCCACCCATTGAACAAAATTTTGATAAAAATAAACCTTTATAAGGTACCTCCAGACTCTTTGTTTTTTAAGCATTTTGACTTTGTTTTTTTATTGGGCCATTTCAGTACACATGAATACGATTTCGGCGAAACTGATTCACCTTTGAAAACACTTTAAAATTCGTCATTTTGTCCTGTTTGGGTTCCATCCTTTTGATGTAAGTGAAAAAAAAAGAATGATTTTATTTTTAATTTACATTAATTTTGAAATTTATAATGATTTATTAGATTATGATCCTTCATGATTCTTCTTATACAAGTGGACTTGAGCGGTTGCTACAAATAAAATAAAATAGATTTGCTAGATTGATTTCTCACCTCAAGTCCAAATAGTTTACTAAAGCCACCGCACACTCATTTTTCAGATCTGCCGTGGCAAAACTTAGATGTATATCTTCTCTTCTCTCTTCCTCCCCTTCTTGTTCATCAAATATTATTTTTAATTGCTTTTCACATGGTAACTTATCGTTAAAAATAAATGAACAACCCACTATGATGATATTAAATTTGGCAGCTTGGTTATAAAACAAAACGACTCCTGGATCGGGATGTGTCCCTTTCCTAATCTCCATCGTGACGTCTTTAAAACATGGGCCGTCGCCGTCTTGGACTTGTACTTTTCTCAATTGAACCAATGTCATTGCTTTGGTGTTGGCTAATAATTTACGACTAATTCGTATCCGCTGCGCTTGACGATATTCTTCTAACATTTTTTCCATATCCATTTTATCAACAAAAATGTAGATAACTGGCTTTTACCACGCTTTTTATATTATTCTGTATCTCACAATTCTGATTACACAAGGGCAAACTGCACATACGCTGCCAAGGCGAATGCCACAGAACCGACGGAATAAACAAAACAGTTCTTTCTTCTTCCCTAAAGGAGTTCAGACAGACATAAAACAATCGAGTGGAAACTACGATGGCCACAAAACATAGGCATAGGATGGCATTTCTTTAAAATAACAATAATACAGAATATCAAAACAGCCATTTTGCATATGCGCACAACCCAAACGCCAAGCCCTAAAACCAGTATTAATTTTCCGAGATACCTAGGCAACCAATTTAACACTACTGCTGCATGCAATTTATCATTGACATTATAATAAAATGGACGGACTTAGAGAGAGAGGTGGTGGTGACAATACATAAAAATAGATAGAAAGAAAAAAGTAATTATCAGCTGATCGAATGTTGTCAATCTTTCCATCAGGTTGGCAACACTGACTTCTGAATCTGTCAAATTTGAAAGACTTGTTTCGGAGGAATATTTGAATTTAAAGTGTTAGTGTTTTATCTTATTGTTCACTTGTGTAATTGTTTAGTGGTTTAGTTGTTCAGTAGTGTGTTTGTTCAGTAGTTTGTACGTTTAAACATTGTCAGAAACTATTAGTAATAGTTAGATAAATGCAATGGTCGTAAAGTATTGGGTGTTTGGGTGCAAAAATAGTTTTAAAAAGCATAGTACTCGTAACATATCATTTCATCCGTAAGTTAAATAACAATAGTGTTATCAATATAAAGACGTTGTTATTGTAGTTTTCCCAAGGAAAACAAAGAATCTTTCTTGTAGAAAACATTACAGCTAAGAAAAGAGGTTATGTGTGTACTGTCAGTTGTCAGCCGTATTTGTTGTCAAATGTCAAATCTGACGTTTATGTATATTTCAAAATTCAAAAGATTTATAACTTTCCATAAATAGGTTAGACCTTAACAAGTCTTCAATTATTATTTGTATGTACATTAAATTTCCAATTTGTATAATAAGTAATATGATAGAATAAAAACGATAGATAAATAACTTCTTCAAAATTATTATTTTTTTAATTAATGTGTCTCAAAAACTATAACAAGTTAATGTACTATCAATAAACGATTAATATCCAAATGGTAATGTATCAAAGAGTGGTATTCTCCATTTTTGAGTTATTATGCTAAAATGAGAAAGTGAAACTTTTTAATGGATAAACTAAAAAAAAAAAAATTAAATAAAGAACAACATCTTGGTAGTACTTACATTCCACAGTATTTATATGAATTTTAGTGTTTTCATTCGACACTTCCTTTACTTTCTTTTGAGGACTTGTCATAGTAGTTTTGCTGGAATTAATAAATAAACTAGTGACTTTTCCCAAATTTAAAACAAACTTACCACTCATTAGCTTTGGTCTTTTGTTCTGTATTTATTAGTTTCAAGAGTTCTGTAATTTGATGTTTRAGATTTGCAACTTCAAGATTCTAAAATAAAAAAATTGATACTGTTTGGAGTTTGTTATAATGAAAAATGAAAATGATTTCTACCTTAAATTCTAATTCACTTTTGATGGATTTATTTTCCTTTTCCAATGCAGAAAACTTGTCAGTCCATTCTTTCTGTTTCTTTTCTTGATCTACTTGTGACGATGCTCTCAAGTGTTGTAAATTGGTCCTTAGTATTGAAACTTCTCYTTCTTTCTCTGCAAACTTTTCCTGTAATTGCTTTATTCTATCTTCTAAAGTACATTGATTCGCAGGATTTTGTTGTGTGGACGTAAACATATTCCTGGGATCTTAAAAACGCTATATGAAGACTGTAGAGTGTCATCGCGTTCCTGAAAACAGAAAAATTGTTTTTTTCAAAATGAAATAATTTGCTAACCTCTTCCACAATTTGAGTTGCTCGTTTAAAACAATCATCGATAACATCTTCATCGAAGTCGTCATCCCAAAAATCGTTCGACTCCTCTACTCGGGGCACAGATTAGTTGCTTGAATTATTGATAGTAGTAATTTTGTTCAAGGACCTTTAAAAAATTTCCCTAAAACATTCGGTCTAAAAGAACTTAAAAAAGGATATTTTCCACATTTCTTCAATACTACAGAAAATCAGAACTATATTGGAAAAATACCTGATACAAAATACTATGGTGTTAATTCTATGAAACCAAAAGAAAGAGACGAATTTTTAGAATGGCATAAACAAAAAAGAAAAGAAAATTATTTGTTTGATTTTAAAAAAGAACTTTATTATTATTGTAATTCTGATGTTGACATATTAAGAAGAGGATGTCTTGAATTAAGAAATCAGTTTCTAGAAATTGCTAATATAGATCCTTTTAGATATAGGGTGTTTGCTTGGCTATATATAGATCAAAATATATTAAGAAAGATACAATAGCTGTTGTTGATAATCTGAAAAAAGATCAATATTCTCAACAATCAATTTCATGGTTAAATAGTTTTCATAATCCAAATATAAAACACGCATTGAACAATAGTGAAGTGAAAATATGTGGATCAAAAGTTGACGGGTTTGATGAAAAATCCAATACTGTTTACCAATATCACGGTTGTTTTTGGCACAGTTGTACAAAATGTTATAGTTCAGATTTTATTAATAATAAGAATAAAACAACTATGGAAGATCTTTATGAGAAAACAATAGAAAGAAGTGAGCAAATAAAAAAAGCTGGTTATAATTTAATAGAAATGTGGGAATGTGAGTGGACAAAGTCAAAAGAATATAAGAAAGAAATGAAACAAATTGAAGAAGAAATTAAGGAATTGGAAGAACTTAATCCTAGAACCGCATTCTTTGGTGGAAGAACGAACGCAACAAAATTGAGCGTTAAGGCAAAGAAATTGAAATATATAGATATTTGCAGTTTATATCCAACAGTACAATGTTACGATGATTATCCAGTTGGACATCCTACTAAAATATTCAAACCTCGTACGTATAATTCAGATTGGTATGGTTTAATAAAATGTGCAATTTTACCACCAAAAGGTTTGTATCACCCCGTTTTACCCGTTAAGAATAAAACCAAATCTGGTGATGAAAAACTAACATTTCCATTATGTCAATTGTGCGCAAAATTAAATAATCAAAAAGATAAATGTTCTCATACGGAATCTCAAGGAATTATCAGAGGAACCTGGTGTACCAACGAAGTAAAAAAAGCAATTGAAAAGGGGTACAAAATAATAACTATTGATGAGGTTTGGCATTTTTACAAAAAATCATCATATTTATTTAAAGGATATGTGAAAGCGTTTATGAAAATTAAATTAGAAACAAGTCCTTGGCAGGATGATTTTGAATCAGAAGAGGAATATAGAAAAACCGTAAAAGAAATTCTAGGTGTTGAATTGGGTAAAATAGAAAATAATCCTGGAAAGAGGGCTGTTGCGAAAATCTGCTTAAATTCTTTATGGGGTAAATTTGGACACACTTTAAAGTTTTTTTGTTGTATTTTGTTTGTAGAGGGTAGAAATTTTTTTAAATTTTATTCGTGCCACTATTAGTTTGTTGTGTCGACTAAGCTGTGAGGACGCCTGCAGTTTGTAATAACGTTTATATTTGCTTTTATCCAATAGTTTTTGTTCATTTTCCAGAAAAGAGTTTTACGAAACAGTTACCAAAAAATTACTTTTGTTTAATGATGTTGAAATTATCGTGGACTTTACTTTATTTCTTAAAATGACCA